TTAATTTTTTTTTTAAAAAAAAAAAAAAAAAAAAAAAAGCTGTTGTTGGTCCCTAAGGTTGTAGTCTTCTACGTTTGCTTGACAGCAGTCAGCAAACACCTAGGTCACCATGTGAGAAATAAAGGTCTGATCTATTTGTCAGCTCTTGTAGGCAAGAACTTGGCATGCTAGACTAAATAAGCAATATATCATTTCCTTCTGTTTGCAGCCATGACAATAATGACCTCAGCTGCACCTTCATTGTGGCTGAAAAAGCTTAGATTGGCTGCTGGTAGTTGCTGTTTCTTCTACGATGGAATGAATCAGTTTAACTTTGCTACCAAGCCTGTGACTGATTGCTGGAATGTTCTGCATCTGGGAAGAAATAGCATAAATGTTGTGTAATGAGGAAAAGTTTTAAAGAGCAAACAGAAAGGAAAAGAACTTAATCTAGCACTTTGGAAGACTGCAATTAAACCTACTGCTTGACTATCTGCAGTCAAATTACCAATACAGAGGCTAATAGAGTATACTGTGGATAGCATTCCCGTACATAAAAGCTGCCATAACTGTAAAATAAACTTAAATATTTTGGACTCATAAAAGGTTTTACATAAACTGTATTTGAATGAATCATTTTACAAATCTTACATACTTACTTTTCTGCTTCACTGCATAGCCACATACTCTGTTACAAAGGGTCAAAGCATGCACAACTGAAGAGGACCAGGAAAAGCTGATGCAGATTACAAGCCTACATTCACTAAATGCCTTTTTGCTGCCAATCAAAACTGTGGGAGTGCAGGTTAGTGGAGTGGTTCTATGATGTTTTGAAAAGTGCTTATTTGTAGGACTGAAAGCTGCAGCATGGCACAAGAAATAAATGGTGTTAAAGTAAAAAATGAAGAAAATGGCATGTCTGCATATCCTAAAACAGAAGGGTTAGTGGAATTCCTTGGCAATATCAGTTTTATTTTTAAATTCTACTAGTCTGCAAACATTCAGACATCTGGATAGTCAATCAAGTAAGATCTGGGCATCCTGTTTGAAGATCTAGGATTTTCTGAAGTCCTTAAATTAAATAACTACCCCCTGGGGAATTATGTAATGATGTGTCCATGCAATTTTGTGCATAAAAGACGTGATTGCACATAATTGCATAATTTTGTGTAATTTAACCCCAGCGGGCTCTGTGCCTCCACCTCTGCAGGGCTCCCTCCACTCTAACTGGGAGCCCCACATGGAGGCACCAAGTGCAGTGGCACAAGACTGAGCAGCTGGTAAGTGGGGAGGGGAGCTCCTTCCTGCAAGTGAGAGTGGAGGGGGTGGGTCATGTGCCATCAGGCAGTGTCGGCCGGAGCTGTGCCTCCACATGGGGCTTCTAGCACTCCAGCAGGAACACACGCGGAGGCATGGAATCATGTGCTGTCAGGGCAGGTGGGCTCCATGCCTCCATATGCAGCTTCCTGCTGGAGTGCTAGAAGCCCCACGTGGAGGCACAGAGCCAGTCCAGCATGATGGTCCGTGGCCCCTGCCTGCAGTGACGAAAGCCCCACATGCTGGCATGGAGCCAGCCTGGTCTGGTTCAGAGGCATGCACCAGAGGGCCGGGCCAACTCTGTGCTGCAACGTGCAGCCTAAGGCAGAGCCTCATGCCACCAGGTACTATGCCTGCTGTGGCCATGAGGGGCGGCCACCTTCTGCTCTTGAGCTGCTGGTGGCAGGGACTGTGCATCTTGGGGGTGGGGGGAGAAGCATGTGGAAGGGGGGACCCCACCCACCCACAACCCCCATGCCCTCACATCCACCCACAGCCCCATACACTCCCCTACACCCATCCCCCAACCATACAAAGTACCTAAAGAAATATTTCTGAAGAAGGTTCAAATAGTCCTATATTTAGTTTAATTTGTAAAAGTAATTACTTATGCAAAACTTTGAATTTTTCTTTGCATAATTTTGAATTTTTCTAATTCCCGGGGGTGTGAATAACGGGAGTCGTATTTTGTGCCACAGGATTCAGATTTGCTATTTGAAAGGGATCATTTGATCTAACAGTTGAGCCAAACCAGTTATTAGCTCATTTTTGGTTAAAAACGAAGAACAAAAGTAAGCATATTCAAAGAATTTAAGCTTAAAACTTAGATGCGTTGCCTTTAAACAGTGTAAAATTGAAAACTCCAGAACATAATTATCACTGACAGGAAATAGCATGAACCGTTGTGACTCGTGAACACCAGTATCTGATTTGTATCCATTCTTAATAGTTTTGAGACGAGGTGTAGTTTCTTGTGTAACCTAGATAAGTGTCATTTTAAATTTGCATTAATATAGCACTTTCAGATATTATCTTAAATGGCATTCAAAGGCAAATAAGGGGTGTGTGTTGTTACTTTTTTAGATTTTGTTGTTAATAACTTCGAGTGGCAGAGAAAATGCAGCATAACTAAATCACAAAATCTTAGAAAATTAGGGTTGGAAGGGACGTCTGGAAGTCATCTAATCCAACCCTCTGTTCAAGGCAGGACCATCCCCAACTAGATCATCCCAGCCAAAGTTTTTTGTCTAGCTGGGTCTTAAAAACCTCCAAGGATGGAGATTGCATCTGGGTAACCTGTTCCAGGGTTTTTATAGATTCATAGACATTAGGGCTGGAAGAGACCTTGGAAGATCGAGTCCAGCCCCCTGCCCAAAGGGCAGGAAGTCAGCTGGGGTCATAGGATCCTGGCAAGATAAGCATACAATTTGCTCTTGAAGGTGTTCAGTGTAGGTGCTTGAATCACCTCTGATGGCAGGCTGTTCCAGACCTTGGGGGCTCAGACAGTAAAGAGATTCTTCCTTATGCCCAGCCTGAAACGATCTTCAATCTCATCATCCCTTGAGGCGCTCTGGTGAACAAACATTACCTCAGCATCCAATTTTGCTGGTGGTCACCAGTGGTAAACTTATAGGTGGCCATCAGATCACCCCTGAGCCTGCGCTTTTCCAGGCTAAAGAGCCCCATGGCTCTCAGCCTGTCGTCGTAAGGTCTGTTTTCCTGACCTCTGATCATGTGCGTGGCTCTTCTCTGGACTCTCTTAAGCTTCTCCACATCCTTTTTGAATTGTGGAGCCCAAAACTGGACGCAGTACTCCAGCTGCAGCCTCACCAAGGCCGAGTACAAGGGGAGAATGACGTCCCAGGATTTGCTTGAGAAGCATCTCTGGATGCAAGGCAGCGTTTTGGTCTCTTTACTAGCCACAGCGTCGCATTGCAGGTTCATGTTCATCTTGTAGTCAATGATGACCCCCAAGTCTCTTTCTTCCGTAGTGCTCGCCAGTGTAGCACTGCCAAACCTATAAAGATGGTGCAGGTTTTTCTTCCCAAGGTGGGGAACCTTGCATTTTTCAGTGTTAAACACCGTTGGGTTCTTGTCCGCCCATTTGTTGAGCCTGTCCAGGTTTTACTACACTCCTAGTGAGAAAAATCTTCCTAATATCTAACCTAAACTTCCCTTGCCCCAACTTCAGACCATTGCTGCTTGTTCTGTCACCTCCCACCACAGAGAACAGTTTAGCTCCATCCTCTTTTGAACCCCCCTTCATGTAGTTGAAAGCTGCTAATAAATCCCCCCTCAGTCATCTGCAGGCTAAATAAACCCAGTTCCCTAAGCCTTTCCTTTATAAGCAGGGATTCTGGTTTTCCCTGATTTAAAAAAAAAAAAAAAAAAATCACTTATGCCGTTTAAACTCAAATTCTCTAATAACCCCAAATACGTGGTTAAAATTAATGGCCCCCCACAGCCTCCTGACCTTGCTCATGCCTCTTGCCCCGCAGCCCTGTTGGAGGGGGCCCCTGGGTCCACATCCCCCTACCCCCACTCCCCTCTGCTGCTTGCTGTGGTCTCAAAGCAGCAGCACTTGCAGGGGGCATGTTGCCAGGGGGAGGGGGGGCTCGCAGTGGCGAGGAGATCCCTGCATGCCCGGCTGTTCCTTGCTGCGCCAGGTCGTGCCCACCAGGCTGCAGAGGCCCCCCAGGGAGGGAAGGAGGGTGGGAGCCTGAGCCCACAGCCTGCGCCTGCTCCATGCACAGATCTGGGAGGGCACAGGCCTTCCCTGTGCCCTAGGAAGCCCTCTGTCTTCCCTGGAAGAGCCACCCACAGCCCTGTCCTGCTCCCTGCTGGGGCCCTGCAGCTGTGTATTGTGGCCCCAGTCCCCAAACACCACCTGGCTAGGCAGCAGCACCAGCCCTGCCTAGCTCCCTCCCTACAAGGCCCTCAATCCCCCCTCCCCCCTCCAC